ATTCAAAGAGAAAGACCAGCCTCCAGCACGTGCCTCATAGATATATGCAAAAAGTCAATGAAGTGATACATAGGCATAATTGCATACCATGAATATGATATAGCCAAGTCAATAAACTTTGAAGGAACTTAAGAGATGTTGTAAATAGCAAATATGTGTATGCATCTATGTGTTTTTGCAAACTTAGAGGTTCAAACAGTTGGTCATCTTTCAACTCATCAACTGCATTAGAAATGAATTCATCAAGCCAAACCAGAGTAATGGATAATATAAATTGCATTTATCTGACTAAATAGTAAACCAGTCATCAACCTTACAGCACTACACTTGCAATCTAAGAGAAGCTGATTACCTTCAAAAGTGAATTGATAGCTGAGCGCATCTCATTCCTAATCAATTTGCAGATTTCAATCTGTCTATCTGTCATCTCACATATCTCATTTGTTTGTGCAGAGAGTGTAGAATCAAGAACAGGCTTTTCCAAACTAATCCATTCCCCATGATTATGTTGGAATTCATGCCTACATTTCATTATAGAAGAAAGAGTAATAATAATAATAATAATAATAATAATAATAATAATAGTAAAAACCAAACTAGGTCCTCAGCATCACAAGAAAAACATGACACAATAATATACATGATGTAGAATTGAAAAGCAAGCTAACCTTTGAAGAAGCTGCAAAATATTTGCAAGCAATCTTATTGATGAAGGTTTTGATTTGCCATTTATTTTCTGGCTATGAAACTCTTTCAAGCTTGGAACCTTAGAATTGAAGTAGTTCTCCACACTTTCATGCTTTAACACTTGTCCTTGAGGAGATAAAAGAAAAATAACAAAAGGTAAGAAAGTTTCACAACGAAAATAAAAAGTTACACACAGAGAAAAGAACATACTTCCAAAAAGCTTCTCAGTGGATTTAATCACCACCTGAGCAACCCTGTCCACAGGAATCTTTAGTAGCTGAAAACAATCATCAGCTACTATGATTTGCCTAGGACTGCGTTGAGCTGCAAATGGAAGTTGCAGAAGCACGTGGCCAACTCGACGTAGAATATTTGAATCCTTAGCAAACAAACCTAAGAGCAATTTCAAGTAGGAAGCTGTTAATAAGGGCACTGAGCTGCACAACCACTACATCCCAAGAATAAAAGTCAGAAGACTAACCAATCACCTCAAGCATTTAAAAAGGTAAAGAGGAAGGAAGTGAAACTAACAATTATGACATTCACTCACCAGATGACAAACTGATAACTCTAAGTTAAAAAACATTAACTCAAGTTTCTGCTCAGAGGCTATTAGTATCACAATGCACAACTGAATTCAATTATCCCACCATTTTTTCATTTCTGTAAGCATATTACATGCACAAAGCAAAATGGAAATGGTATCCAAAGGTAAATGTCAGAAAAGAAAGTTCAAGGGTTGAATTGGTATTTTACGCAGTCAACTTGAATATGATAAATTGAAAAGCAGGGGTAAAAAGAAAAAAAAAAAAAAAAAAAAAGGAAAGGCAAAGAAAAAAAGCCTAACTTAAGGCCAAAAGAATTGATACTTCTAAGACATAAAAACCAATGAATTGACCAGACAAATTTATTAAGAGGATTCAAAACATATTCCCATCTGTTGCAAAGAAATAATTTAAGAAATTTTGATTAAAAAACCACCCATATAACCTGAAAACTATGTTATTGGATGTTTACATTTTTTTTTTTTCTATTGGCCTGCTGATGTTTATTTTTCAATATGAAAAACTTTCATGTGAACATACCGACAGTGTCAAGACTTGTTGAAATAGGTATAATTCCTGTGTGAGAAACAGCCCCATGTGATGGTCGGAATCCTATGACACCACAAAAAGCAGCAGGTACTCTCACACCACCAACAGTATCAACACCTGCCATAAAATATTATGTAAAACAGATATCCTGAAATTGTTATTTACAAGCTTAACCAAGCATTAACTCAACATTTGAAAATACCAAAATTTCACAAGCTTTCTGGAAGTTCATGATTGATGATGTTAAATAACACATCATAATGCCTTTCATGTCATATCATTATTGAAACAAGCATTACCAAAATCAAAATTCCAGCATCATAAGATATCCCAAATAAACGATAATAAATATGATAATACGATAATTACATTGCCATCTATAGGGGCCACTATCTAACACAATTATAAAGATCTTGGACTGACAAGAATAAGAGAGTAAGGTATTCAGAGCAGCAGACCAAATCCTAGATTGAAAGAATCTTTTCAATTTGACATCCCAAAAGCCACCTCTATAAGACCATAACTGCATAAGTATCTACATTACATGTATTGCCAGCAACTGAGTTAGTACAGACCAGGTAAGCTTCAAATTTAAGTTTTAACAAGAGCTAGTTAGTAAAGATATTCTAATAAGGTAATTTAGTAATTTATTGCTCATTTTTCACCGATTATACTTTTGTCTTCCCTTCTCCCCTCCTATGCCACAAGAGCTAGTTAAATTATTCAATAATCAAAAGGAACTTTTTGATTCAAAAGATGGCTGGCTAAATGTTTTAAAATTTCACATGTTATGGGCGTTGTAAACAAGCATGTTTGCACCCAAAATAATGCAAGTACACAAAGAAAAAGCACACAAAATAAGCAAGTTAAGATGTTAGGCAGCTAGAAGCTCACCTAAAGAAAAATCAACAAAGTTTGCAGCTACTGAAACAGCAGCTCCACTACAGGATCCACCTGGTATGCGTGCAGTTGCCACAGGATTGGTTGGTGTCCCATAATGCCTATTCTCTCCACTTATACTGGAATAAAAAGTATGAAAAACAGCTAGCATCATACAAATCCTAACAACCATAAGGCAAAACAAATATGATACTGGTACACCTAGACCAGAAGAATTTGATTATTTTGTTTTGTCAAATCTGATTGCAACCAAAGGCTGCCAGCCATAGTAAGTAGCAACAGTGAAATACCTATATCCCAGTTCATCCACAACAGTTTTCCCAACACAAGTTGCACCTCCTTCTACTAGAGTCAAAACCACAGCTGATGTCCGAGAGGCTGCTTCATGTGTCCTCACCCAGTCTGGATGACCAAATCCAGTCACATATCCTTCAATGTCAAACCTGTTAATCATAACCCAAAATTTCAGACTTCACAGCTGCCACGTATAGCCAAATGAATAAGGCTGAAGATGAGAAGAAGACCTATAATTTACTAAAGCACAACATAAAAGCAAAAAATTGCAAAGTTTAAGTCTTTCAGACGCAAGGGAAATCTACAAACCTCGGATTATCTAAACTAATAGATAACAAGTAAACATAAGATCAAGAACTCCCACAGCGCTTTGCTCTTAACCATAATCCTCAAGTTTAGAAAACCAGAATACTAACATATACATGTGTAAACAAAGTGATATCAGAAATAGTGGCTTACAGGTCGGAGACGGCAAAAGTGAGACCGGTGAGGGGGTGAGGGGCCTTGGGAGGAGCGGGTTGAGGCGGCGGAAGGAGCTCCAACTTTTGGATGAAAGCTCCAAAGTCTTCTTTGATACTCTTCTTGAGCTTCCTCGTCACAAGCAGAATTCCGGCCAAGCCGAGCCCCAGCAGTACCCAGAGATTAGCAGCATTAGAGGCCATGCTGGGATTGGAATAGCGCGAGGAGAAGCAGATAAAGGGTGGAGAAGGGAGGCGAGCAGATGGGTTTCAGGGTTGCGTGGATGAGGCTGACGCTGTTAGGAACGATAGGGGTTTCCGCTTTCTAGAGAGAGTTAATCTGGGGTTTTCCGCCGATGGTAAAATATCAAATTCGTCCTTCCACTTTCTCTTAATATCCATCACCGACGTCGTTTTTTTTTTTTTTTTGAACAGGGATACATAGAGGAAGGAGAGGGTTTACAAGAATTAGAACTAAGGTCTTAGTCTTAGCATATATGCATTCTGTTAAGTGTAATAAGTGCCGTAAATACTTTTTTTCTTCCGTTTTTTTTTTTTTCTTTGACCAGGTAGATGGTTAGGAAGTTAGTAGAATTAGTTTGTTAGCAGCTGGAATTTTTCCAGAATAGTGAACGTTCCACCCCTCATTTGAGGCGCGCAACCATTAGGTTGCAAGTTGGTGGAGTTCACGGCGGTGGCAGGGCTTCCTGAACGTTTCACCCCCTCATTTGAGGCGCGCAACCATTAGGTTGCAAGTTGGTGGAGTTCACGGC